AATGTTTTAAATTTTATAGATGTTCAAACAGAAGAGAGAAAAGAAGTTGTATTACTGCTTCCATTTATTGTGCAGAAACTGTTTAATTTTGCGTATAATAGTAGGAGTAACCAGAGAACAGATTATCTCTAACTGTTACTCAACTCAGGTGACTTAATAACTTTATACTAAATTAGCCACGTGATACTTGGAGTACACTTGACTAACTGTAAACTGTAGGACTGTCCTATAGTCACCTTAGACTGGTCTCTAGACTGGGTCCTCTAAGCTACGTTTTTGCCAAATCATGTAACAATATCTTCTTTTGTAAACAGTATAACACGGTAGTTTTGGAAGTAACACAATACATCTACTCCCGCTCAACTGTGTATCTTGGCACTGTTACTTGTTACACAACAACTACTTGGTAGTTGTCATATATAACAACCTTTCTGGGTTGTCACCACTTGTAAAAAACTACTCTAGAAACATACTACATTCTGCATTTACGCTCAAAATATAGACCCAAAGTTTATTGGGTCTTCAGTGACTTAATCCACAGGCTTCTTTGTGTATTTATTATAAAAAGGTTTTGGTGTACACATCTCAAAAAGCGATCATTTCACTGCAGCTGTGAGCAAGAAATATAGATTTTGAGGTATCTTAAAGCTGCCTTCAAAACACGTCCACTACAGAGTGGGAGTGATCTTGAGTAAGGACTGGGAGAACAGAATACCCAGAGGTCCGACGCCCTCCCCTCGAGAGAAAGATTTAAAACACATCAATCATGGCTCTAGCCAATAAGCCTCCTCTCATCAGGGTTATCAAACCACGTTTCAAATAGGTAATAGGGAGCCAGATACTCTATCCCTTAGCTCAGCACTAAGTGACATGTCTTCCCCGTGACACACACTTTTTAGTCACGAGCCTGAACATGAACCTCATAGCCAGTGGAGCCAGTGGTAAGTGATAGCTATGGGCTACATTAATGCAACAACCTACATTTAAACAAAACACAGTTTATAAGATAGTGGCTAATACTAAAGTTAAGGGTTGATCTGTGTACCGTTTTATGTTAAAAGTCTTCAATTTCATATTTACTAGTTAGAAATCATAAAGTATTTTATAATGCAATAAGGCTTTTTCTAAGATGTGTAAGTTATTTAGATTATAAGTTGCTCTATTGCATCTTTAAGTTTATGTATACTGTACAGTATATGTAAATACATAGTTTTAGAAAAAAAATATTGACCTTATGTTAAAAAATGTAATACACCCTTTTCTCACTATTATATATAGTACTCTTATTTTTTTATGGTAAGTGGAGCCTCCAATCCTGTGATATAGCTTAGGGCTTCAGTGTCTTATCACAGCCCTCCATCCAGCAATAATTGTAGGGTTATATAGTTACCACAGTACAGCACAATACACGGTTTAGTGGTTAAGTTTTGTGTAATACTGTACAGTACTGTACATATTTCTTACTTTAATGTTAAGCAAGTCAGACTTGAGTCAAAGTACAGTGCCTCTTCCACCCACCAAGGCTCCAGCAACCATAGGAAAGTAAGGTCCTGGAGGTTCAGTTGTTAGCTGATGCTTTTAAAGGGTAACACAAATGAAGACAATTTTTTAAAAGGTACTGGAGACAGTGAAGTGTACAGATGAGGTGTGTGTGTGTGTGTGTGTGTGTGTAAGATAGGTGTAACAGGAGGAGAAAAGAGATGTTCCAATAAATAAGCAAAGAAGAGGTACTGCATGAACTAACCTTCTGGAAAACATGTAACAACAATACAAGGAACATAATTGATGTGGCATGCTATATGTTTTACCTTGATAAGAGATGAGTTTATCTTGTAAATACTGCAGGAGTTATTAGAAGAAGCGGTGAACTTTTGACAAGCCTCTAATGCATCTTTTGTTGGTCGGTCCACTCCAGTCTACTTCCCCGACCCTCGCCTCTCCTCTGTCATGTAATAAAAAAAGGAAGAAGTGGGAAATACTGTACAGGCATCCCTTAAGGTACAGAAGCTTGAGCATGGAAATTCATGGCCAGTGAACGGAAAAAATATGGAATAATCTTGATACAGAAAACTTCCATTATTACTGGGACACTGTACAGTACAGTACCTACCAAAGCTGGTTTGATCAGATCCCTTTGAAGAATTCCACCCTAGACCAGCTGTTATCTTTATTCAACCAATTAATGCTTATTTGTGGGGATGAGGTTGTAATAGTTAGCATTTGGGTGGTTAATCAATAGGTGAAATAAATCAGGATGGAAATTCAATGGTAATCCTACTATTACAAGGTGCAGTAAACTTGTTTAGTGGGGGGGCTTTCAGTCTTATACTGTATTTTCCTTTTAATTTATATACATGTTAAAAGTTTTATAAGTGAAGTTTAAAATTTAAAGACAAAAATATTTTGTAATAACAAAAGTTAGTCAAGCAGATCTGTAATGTGCAGTTAGCAGTCCAGAATTTTGGGTGTATGTTTTAGGCTGCAGTCCCATACTGTTCCTGGGGAAATGCCATTGAAATACATAGAATGATTTAACATGACGTCTAACACCACCTACACCTGAAGTGAAGTGAAAGAATTAACATTAAACTTTGAGATGATCATCATGATTCATATCATTCTTGATGCAGCAATCTTTTTTTTTAAGAAAAATAACTGTATGAGTATTATAGCTAATTAATATGAAACACTTTCAAATATTATTGGTATGTGGAGGAGACAGTTACCACCAGAAGTGCATCTTTATGGCGGATCTGAACCAAAATTCCTGGAGATACTATTTGCATGATACTGAAAACGGAAAAATGGAAGCAAGAAATATAATTTACAGAACATGGCATGAATCCTGACCTAACCTTATCTAACATCTCAACTAGAAGTAATAATAATTTCTTTTAGCAGAATACCTAAAGAAGAAGTTGGAGAATTTTAAAAGTGGTGCATTAGGAGATTGCCAAGTAGTGCCACACTGGAGAGAAAATAAAATAAAGAAGTACTGTACCAAGATTAGCAAGAACTTCAAGAGAAATAATTGAAAATGTACAGAAAAAGAAAAATTAGATACTTCATTGCATAATTAGGGATGAGGGAATAATAACAAATACCAATGTGTAAATTTGAGGATAGAGGGCCTAAGGGACAGGGAAGGCAAGAGACTACGAATGAAATAAATTAATAACTGCCCCAGAGAGATACGTAACCTAAGAGAATTGGTAAAAACAGCAGTAGAATGTTTAGAGTGGGAGGAGTCCTCCACTTAAACGGGGTTCTGGGCTGTAGTCGCAACTCCACAGATATGAGGAGATTACTTGCATGCACTAATCCCTGAAATTCTGTCACAACTGCAAGGAAAAATTTAGGAATTAAAAAACATGTAAGCAATTGCCTGCTAATTACATCTTACTATGGAAGGAAAAGTAATTAGCATTGCAAAAGTAATTAAAATATTCTAAAAATCATTTGAACATTTTCTAAAAGCCATTTGAACAAGTTATAATCAAGATATCAAATTTTGGTTAACAGATCCTTAAGCAGCACATTCAGGAGTACCTACTCACAACTGCAGTTGAAAATGTATAATTACAAACACAAAGTATTTGCGGTGATTAGAGAGGTATTTGCTCCCATACTGACACCATGTGACAGTCCTG